TTTACTTACTTACTTACTTACTTTTACTTACTTACTTACTTACTTACTTACTTTTACTTACTTACTTACTTACTTACTTACTTTTACTTACTTACTTACTTTTACTTACTTACTTACTTTTACTTACTTACTTACTTTTACTTACACACACTCATGGTTCCATGCAATCACATCATTCTGACACAGGGGTCTGCAACTTTTGCAATCAAAACAGACATTTCTGACATTAGACTCAATCATAAAATGTGTCTGGAGGCACAAAATGTGTTACAGCTGGGATTATCTACTAGTGGGCCACTTAGTTTGATAAAAGAGGGCTTTTCCAGCCAGTAGGGGTGACATAAAGCTAAAATTTTATAGTGAGTCCTCACATTTATTATTATTTTTTAAACTTTAGGACAAACTGAAAGATCCTATTCATGTAAACAAGAAAACAGAATATAGTTTATATCAAATTTAATAAAAACTAAAGCACTGAATCATACAAAAAAAAACAGAGATCTGACTATAAGGCTGGAAATTGAATTATTAAAGTGGGAAACAAACTACTAGCAACTTGTTTCACTCCTTGTATGAGAAGGATCATTCAAAACAAAAAGATAAGAACACTGCTAAAACTAAAATTAAATCTCATGTTAACTTTGGTCAAAGCTTTAAAGAGCAGACTGTACTATGGGTGGGAATCTTTTACTCTCTCACGATTCGATTCAGATTTTTGGGGTCGTAATTCGATTCAGACTCGATTTTTTTTCATTCAAAACTCAATGTGAGCCCATTTGTCGTGTTCCTAAATGCTTCATCTTCATTTTGCAAACCTTGCACACAGTGAAGCTCATGTCAAACTCAGACTCGTTCAGTAAAAAACATGAGCCCAAATCTTTGCATTCATTGAAGGCAGGGCCAGTTGAATCTCTTTTTTTCTCCAGTTTTGTAGTTTCCTTTTTGTTTTGGTGCTTTCTGAACACAATGGAGGCTGACAACCTTTGGATTTTTTTTAATGTATATATTTAAAAATCGATTTTGGGACATTTTAAACCGATTCTGAATCTTTGTAAATGAGAATCACGATTCCGATTTAAAACGATTTTTTTTGCACCCCTTCTCAGTAACTAGGCCTGGGCGATAAACCGAAAAATAACCAAAACCAACATTTATGACAATAACTAACGTCATTTTGCCCAAGTCAGTATTTAAAAAAATGAGGAAAAGAGAAACCTGCTTGTTTTCTGTTGTGGTCTCGTTAAAGCCGCCCAGTCTGATACAGGTTTAAACGGACACTGCTTTCAACAAATCAAACAAACCCCACAGTTTTATCCAATCAGAGCAGAGCAGGGCGGGTCTTTCTCATGTCGGTGCAGCAGTCTGCAGGATAAACACTGGTCAGCCTGCAGCTCCTGTCCTGAGTGAACAAACCCTGTTCTCCACACTTCGCTCGCTCCGGAGCTACCTGAGACGTTGGTATCTAAAATCTAACACACTATAAGTTTATGTGTTCCAACTTCACTTGCGTGACCGGGAGCGCACCGAGGTGCACACAGGCTGAGTTCTTCCAATGAAACATTATTAACTCTCACAGATGAACATTTGTTTGTCCCATATTATAGAAAAGACAAGTCTCCGCTTAGCACTATGTAGTTTATCATAAATATCTATAAATTGCATTCTTCACAATATAGCTTGCTTATATTTAGAACCACGCTATGACTGAACTGCTCTGTGATTCAATAAATGATCAAATATGAAGAATAAACAGTATTAAATGATTACATGAGCTCTCTAAATAATATAACCTTTTTGAAAGAAATGGTTATTTTAGAGAAATCAGTCAGTCTAACAAATAAAAAATGTAGTTAAGTTATTTTGTGCAGTACAAAAGACATGGTATATATTTTTTTTAATATAAAATTATAATACGTAATGTTTGTTTGCACTGAAAAGTTATGGAGATGTTTAAATATTTGTATGACTATATCTGACTCAAGTCTGCCAAAAAAGTTTTTTATTAAATAAAAACTATACCGTGTACTTGTGGGGGGTGGTAGTAAGTTTTATCCTGCATTTATCATTGTCGAGGTGAACTGGTCAATATATCGTGATTTTGATTTTAGGCCATATCGCCCAGCTCTACCCTGTACTGATATGATGCTACATCACACCTTTACTAATTGATTGTTTTTCTAAGGATTTAACTATCAGTCGAGAATCTATAACTGCTTAAAATGTAAATCAATTCATAAAATGAATGAATCGATTTAGTCGTACAACAGTAAGTTTAGTCTTTAAGACAAATTCAGTTTGATACTTGGTAACTTGTAGTCACAGAATGATTTGTGATGACTTTTGTTTATTTTGTTGCTAAAACAGACAGTTATAGATCGATATGAGGACAAAAAAGAAACATATTTGTTTATAAATGACTGCAATTCATTTTGTTAAAAAAACATAGAAAATAATCGTAATTGTGAATTTGAAATCAATAATCAAATTGAATCATCACTTATTAGCCTGGGAGGATTCGGATTAAAAAAAAAAAAATTCTAGACTAGTTTATCCCCTCTGTCGCCAACTGTTAAGGAGGATTATTACACCCCTAAAGGTTATTTCACTGTGGAAGGGGTGTGTACAGCAGGGTGGCCAATGGGGTGGCCAAATTAAATTATAAGTCGATTAATTGTTTGCATCCCTACTCAGAACCCTCTGTGCTCTGTCACACTTTACAACCTCTATGTGCGCATAAAAAGACCTCACTGAGGTTGAGCTGAGACCCTCCACCTTTTACCTGATTTTTGCTTTTAGACATTGTGGTGACAACATCATCCAGGGTGCAGAGGACTTTAACAAAGTCTGGCTAATAACTTTGTAAATATTGATTCATTGGAAATGAGAACCATGTGAAAATGTTGTTGGTAATACACATTTATTATTGATTATTTGATGGTAACATTCAGAGAATTTTGAAAACAAATGAAACATTTTGTGTCGTCAGTGTGAGCTGTTCAGTCACAGAGAGGATGTTGTTTCTTTGAATCTCTGTCCTGTCTCTAACTGTTGGTGGTGGTTATGAACATGTGTGTGTTTTCCTCTGCAGTCTTTAAAGTGGACATCATCTGCTCAGGCAAAGTGGATGAAGAGGCATTTTTAACAATGCAGCTCAATCTGACCAGTCAAGCCAACAACTACACAGTGCTCAACTTCAAGAGGAGGAAAATGTGCTACAAAAGTAAGAGTTATTAAAAACTATACCTTAGTAGGCAGTATGACCAAAATATTATATCACTGTATTTTTAACATGCTGTGTTCTCATCTCTTTAAGATCCATTTCTTTTCTCCACAGTTGTGATCATAAACATAAACACACCCCTCATCATGGACATACATGTTTTTAATATGGGGCTTTAATTGTTGCTTTGAACTGTTTTCACAGAGTGAGAATGTTTTACAACTTCAGTAGTTTTTAAAATATAAAAGATTAGGTGCACAAGTTTGAATTTATTGTTGATTTTCATTAATCCCCACAAGATCAAAATACTTTTATTTGGTTGCATATCCTTTAGTGAGTACCTGAAAGGTGTTTGTAGCCATTAACAAGCTTCTGGCACAGCTCTGGCTGGATAAAGCACATTTCTTACCAGAATTGATGTTATTTTCCAGTATTGCATGTTTTGATTACTTTTATTATTACAATAATAATTATCCCTGAGCTCTGTCGTTAACCAAACGCATAATGTCTTTTTGTTTTTGCACAGGAATAGATTCTGACTCGAAGATACCCATTCCCTTCAACAATACTGTTCTGCCAACAGGCTGTAAGTCACCTCAGCTCCTCGTTCTGCTGGTTTTCTTCACTTCTGTCAGTTTAACATGTTGTCTGTCACAGTTAGCATCAGCCTGATGGGACGAGGTCCACTGTAGCCAAACTTTGTGTAAGAAGATCATTTCAGAACCTAAAGGGAGTGCTTCAGGCTGCACCCTGGCAGACCTCTTAGTCTTTTTATTCATAGACTTTTTTTTGAGTGTTTTGCCTGAGTAACAAAGTACCATTAGTGGGCTTGAGTCCCCTCTGCTTGACGAGGCCAGAGGATCCTGGGGCCCCTCTGAGCCTTTTATGGAGGTGATGAGAAAAGCTTTCAGACGCTGAATTCTGGGCAGAGCCACAACCATTCTGGCTTTTATGAACACTTAGAGGGATCCCAGATGGACTTACAGTTTCTGTCTCATGAGCTGTTTTCTTTTTCATGTCTCACCTCTGGTTTTATTTTCTGCTCTTTGCAGAGTAGAAACACAGATAAAGCTTCCGTATTGTCTTGATCTTCTTTTCAGAGTTGCTCTTTTGTTAACGAGAGTCGTGTTTATTTCATCAGTTAATGGCGTGGCCGCCTCCACCACCTCCACCCAGGTGTTCTACATCAGTGTGAGCGTCTGCTGCATCGTCATCTTCCTCGTTGCCATCATCCTGGCCATCCTTCACCTGCACAGTGTCAAGAGAGTGGAGATGGAGGACAGGTTGGACTCTTTGTCCTCTGGTTTTAGAGCAGCTCAGAGGGTCACTTGTTAAGGGCTCGACACACGGGGAGCGACAAACTACAGCGATTAACGGCTGTCATCACAGCCAGGGTGAAACCCGACACACGGGACGCGATAGCGATCGCAGCGTTGCGAATCGTGCTCTCAGGTCGCTTGTCTTCACAAAATTTGATTGGTTCTTGACTCTGAAGGCGGGTCTGCGTTACGGACGTGTAAACTAAACAAATCTTGCGATGCTAATGATATTGAAAAACAAACACACATCAAGATACAGTTTTATGAGGAAAAACTTACCATAAACTTCACCCTGGTGCCAATAAATTCCCACAAAGCTTTTTAGTAATCACTTGGTGAAAGTGTTAGCTAACTGCAGTGTGTAGCATACTCTCCTCTCATTGGTCAGTCAATGAAACCCTCGCTGATTGGTTGTACGCTAAGCGACAGCGACAAAAGTTGAACATTTTTCAACTTTCATATGTCGCGTCGCAAGCTCGCATGTGCACGTCTACGTGTACGAGTGCAAAATTTCACATGCACTATTTTCGCCGGTCGCTTAGCTGGAGGAGGGCAAGCGATTGTCGCCTCACCGCACAGGCTCCATAGGAAATGAATGGAGAACGAGCGACGTCGCCTCCTGTGTGTCGAGCGCTTTAGGCAGCAAAGCTTATCTACGGGCTTTTATTAAATTCACACTCTTCTCATTAGAGTCCTGAAAAACACAGATTGTAGTACATTTTATAAAACTATTATTAAAACAAATTCAATTATTGTTCATGTGGATAGCAAATTTACCCATTTTATTGATTAAAATAATCAAAATAGTAGTTGTTATGTTTAATTAATCAGTTCAGTCCTTCACTGGGATTCAATTGGGTCTCTTTTAGATTTGATTAAATTTGAGTTTAAATCTGAATTTAAAACGCTTTAAAGGCTTCAATATCAATTTCATAATAATAACAAGTACACAAATAATTCATTAGTCTCTGTAGATAATTTTTAGATTTTTATTTTCTTGCCCACTGGGTTCCCGCGGATCCTTAAAAAGTCTTAAAAGGCATTGAATTTGTCAATCTAAAAATAAGGCCTTAATTAGCCTTAAAATGACTTAAATAAATCTTTCAGAGGTCTTAAAAATGTTAACACATTTTAAGTAGGATAATTGTAAATTGTCTCAAATGTTAAAATAATCGATAACATTTATGTTTATTATTATTTTTTAAATAATTTACAGAATTTCTCTCGTAGCTATTTGTTCTGTGTTAAAATAAACATTTGGGTAAAATTTTCACGTTTTTTTCCCCTGTGTTTTTATTTATTGTGAATTGGGCCTTGTGGTATTAAAGAGGTCTTTAAAAGTCTTAAATTTAACTTGCCTTAAACTGTGGGAACCCTGGCCCATATAATCAGAAATGGTATACATTAATAGTTTAGAGAAATAAAATATCTGAATATAAAGCAGTAGAATAATAATACTTGTTCTGAATATGGAGGGAAAATATAAAACTTGGCAAATTCAAATTAAAGCAGCTTAAGGTCAAACAATGATGGAAATTTACATCTTTCTATGTTGATAGTCTTATATAAGAATTAAAGTAGAGACAGGCTGTGTGTGCTCCTGCTGCAGCTAAACAGCTGATAGCTCAACACTAGCTTACCTTACACACGTCAACTGGTTCCACTCTCACAGTTCCCTTGTCTTCAGGTCACTTTAGCTGGAGTTTACATGTAAATTCTGTCCAGATTATTAAACACAGATTTAAAGAAAACAAAACTAATTATGTCAGCTTTACGAGACAAAATATAGGTCCTTTAAAATATTTTTTGTGCACACCTGAAAACAAAAAACAAAAAAGAAATCACATAAAATAAGATTTCTCTTTAAAATACATTTGTGTCCAAAGTAGTCAGTATTTGAGTATTAGTAGATTTGTTAGAATATGTTTTTTTTTTATTTTATAGTAGCTGCATCCTTACTGGTGTTAATGATCAATATAAAAGTCACACCTTGTGGGAGGAGAAGGAAAAAATTGAAATCAATTTATTTATCTCCTCCTATTATTTCCTTGCTGTGTCTTTAAATACATTTTGATTCCTGAGTTCAGTGTCACTAAATTAAAATCTAATGTTTGTCAGGGGACACAAACTATGACTGTAATCGAACATGTTAATCACATCCAAACTGACTTTATAATGTTGTGACTTCAGTAAATTAAGTCATGAGATAATCGCTTCTTCCAGACAGAAATCTTTAAAGTCTGTATTCCTAAAACACCAGAAGCTTTTATTAGAGACCTTTTATTTACAATCACTTGTTTGAATGTAAGTTTTACAGAATTAGGATTTAATTTATACAAGAAATGTGTTTAATGAATCATCTTTTGCAGCTTCACTTATAAATAGCTTTCTTATTTTTGGGGTGTGTGTGTGTGTGTGTGTGTGTGTGTGTGTGTGTGTGTGTGTGTGTG